CCTTAAATTCTGTGATTCTATGATGACATACAAATGCCACACTAAAGACTACCACACAACTCAGAATGTTGTGTGGTATTATTATTACTATTACACTGCAGATGTAAGCCATGGCCTGAGCTAGACAACATGCAGCTCTTTATGCTGAGTGATTAAGCAGAATTGGAAAGTCCCTGTTAATAAAAATGTGTTTTAAATTGCAAAGATAATAAAAAATAAAATAAAATTAATGCTTCTGAGGGTTCCATTATTTTTTCCATGAATTACCTATACAGCTAAAGAGCAGGGGGAGGATGGGATTTACCTATTACTCCTATTAATGCTCATGTTTAACTTAAAACAGAAATCAGAGCACTGAGTGAACAATACACTGATGTAAAACAATATCCACATCTGCAATGAACAGACACCTCAAATACTCTTCAACTTGTACCAGAACTGATGATTTTTTAAATACAGCTTTGGGGGGAAAGTCAAGCACAGCAGCACAGAAATGGCCCAAAGAAAAAAGGAAGGCATTTAACCTGCATCTCACCTTGTTCAATGCGCGTGGCCAGGTATAGCATCTCTCCCTGTGCAGCCAGCTGGTGAACTGACAAAGCTGCAAAATACAGAAGCAAAAGCATGTGCTACACACACCAGTTTTCATTCTGCTCTATTTGGAGCTGAGCATAACATGTCCATTGGCTAGAGCAGTACAGAACTTGGATTTGAGAGTGTGGATAGGTTTCACCATATGCTCTGAACTGATATCACTCTCTTAAAAACCGAAAAGCTTCCAAAGAGTTGCTTAGGTTTAGTAATTTTTTAACCAATGTATAAATTACACTTGAAAGCAAAGATACTTCCCACACTGACTCTTTCCAAAGCCACATACTGCCTTCTCTGTTGCTTGGCCAGGAACATGAGCTCATGTTAAGATCATTTATCACATGAAAATAAGCATCTTTTGATAAATTAAGGATGTGTAATTTAAAAATCGCACCAAGACATCATATGCTATCAGGAGACCTGTCCTGCTACTCAATAAAGAAAACCTCTACTGTGACTTGCACTCACAACAATGTGGACTAGATCAGACATCACAAAACTAAACATAACTCAACCTAAGGAGTGAAAGAAGAAGACTGTGAGATATTTTTATTTTTAATAAAAAGTACCATGCATTAAAAACAGAATAATTCCTAAAGAGCTTATGAAGAAAAAATCTCTGATCCCACAGTAAACTGCACAGGTTTTGATAACAGCAACTTGGAGCAGGCCTGAAAGGTGCTCAGGATGGAATACATGACAAATTATCCACATTATGTAATGACAACATTAGGTAATCATTACATAATATGTAAATGTTCGCTGTCCTCTTCCTGTTCACTACATGAAGGTTTTATTCTTTCAGAAGGATATTGTTCAGAGGCCTACACTCCAGATTAATTTTTCCCATGCGAGTGGCCTTTTGTAAAAAAAAAAAAAAAGATAAAGTTTGACTTATAATTTATAGAGGAAATAATTTACAGACAAAGTAAATTACAGCAAATTAATTCATAAAGAAAATGCTTGACAGATCAGAAAAAACCCCAACATAACTAACAGTGTCTTCTTGACTTTTGACATGTCATGACAATCACGACATTTGCTGTATTTTGTAGCACTTACCAGTCATCTGATTTTAATAGCTCTTACAAGATGCACAAGTTCTGAAATCAAGTGCATGAAGTACATTAACTTAAAGCTTAGGACAAATCAGAAAAGCCTTTACCTCTGTTTTGCAAATCAAGAATTAAACTCTTTCTGGAAAACACACTTCAGTTATGAACTCAATACAACAGGTGGATAACTATTTTATGGTTGGAACCATGTGAAATTAGACAACACTATCAAAATGTTTTCTAGCGACATTAAAGTTCATTGCTACACCGAAGAAAAAATGGAAGAATCTGCCAAGCCTCCAACATACAGTTCACAAAACAAGTATTTATTAACAGTAAGGATACTTACAGTTTACAAGCAGAGGTGTTGTAGAGACTTCATTTCCCCTGTGTTTGTTAGTTAGAGTAGTTGATTGTTTTATTGGTGAGAAGTGCTTAGTAGTTGATGGAGTATAAACATGTCTTACTTGGATACCAGGGGAAGGAGAAGTGTGGCTGTTGCATTCAGCTACATTGAAGAAAAAACAGACAGGATTTCAGTGCTGGTAAGAGCATTAAAAGCAAGCCATAGATTCTAAGTCAAACTGGAAAGCACCAGTACCACAAGACCTTTAAGATCCATGTTAAGAAAGCTTTGTGACATGTGCTTTTTCCACTGTGCATTGTGAAACCTGAATAAAGGACTGCATTCATTTCTAGCATGAAGCAATGCTGGTACCTCACACATTCAGTATGGTGCAATGGCACCCTGAGACAAGTTGGTCTCTGAATGAGGTAAGCCCTTGTCTAGAATTTTCTATGTGCCTGGCATGGATTTACCAGGTAGGATGGCTCCACTCAACCTGTCATCTCCTTACAGGCACTCTCCAATGCAGTAATGTGATGCAGCTCTGGTCAGACATGGAGCCAGGTAACTGCTCATCCCATACTTCTGAACCAGTTCACTGCATGGGTGGAAATGACCTTCACTAACTTTCTTCACCAGGGCTTTTCTCACTCCTGGATAAAATATTAACAGCACTATGACTCTCCTATGAATACTGACCCAGGAGGAAGACACATGTTCCACTCCAATTCACATAAAATGCAACAGCAGGTCACCACCTAGAATTCAAGAAGTTATTCAGTGCTGATGTGTTCCTTTGTACTAACTTTTCTCTCTTGCTCTGAGAAGCTAATGGGACTTTATTACAGAATACATTTATATGTTGTCTTGGCTTCTAATTCTCACAAGTAGCTTTTGGTGTTGAGAAGTAGCTGAGAAGCCAATTAATTTTTAAGAATCTAACTGATTAAATACTGGAAAGACCTACTGAAGGATTAAACTCTGTATTGACTAAATTGATTTGACACCAGTGTGCACCAGTAATTAAGCACTGGAAGCTAATTAACACGCACACTGAATTAACACCATGGAGAACTTCGCGATCATAAACCCAAGCGCAAATTCAGGGAAAGAACCAATTAAAAGAAGTAGAGTGTAACAGAATGAAAATGGAATTACATCATGTTTGCCAAGCAAATAGCTACAGCTGACTTCATCGAATTAAGAGTCCTACTACATATTTTGACTTGCAGTCCCTGGATCCACAGGACTGCTTCTAAGGGATTCACAAATCTTACCTCAGAAAAAAAACCTTGCTGGTGACAGGTCTCAATTTGCCACTCAGGCCTGCACCTCTGCTAGTGAGTGCTTAGGGCCTGCAAATCAAAAGGGCTGGAAAACTACAATGGCTGAACTGCAGCCAAACAATACAAATCAGTGAACTGTCAAAATGTGCAATAGGTCTGTGTTTGCATTTGCTGCAGGAAATGGGTGAAATTCAATCTCACAAAAGATACACTGCCAACAGTCTGAAATGTGACAGCAAGCACTAGAAAACACAACTGTTAAGGCGAAATAGAGAGAAGTCCTAATTCTGCTCTCTATCGACAACCTCAGCAGTGAAAAGGCAAGGATCAATTCTGATGCAGCTGCCCAGCAATGGCTGGATTAGCTGCAGGGATCCAGAACTGGAGCAACATTCACTTCCAAATATAATGAGGCTACACTGGCCAGGCCATTGCTGCAACTACAGGCTTTGTAGAGCCACAGTGATAACACAGGGAACCACATGACCTATGTTAGTTACTCTGTCGTCACAGTAGTGAAAGATCTAACATACTGCTGAAAGCTACTGAAGCTGAAATGATCATACAGTGCTTTCAGGTGTATTTTGTGAAGATACATCATGTTGCAGGACATGCTACACAAAAGCAGCTTGTTTTCATAATCAGCATTAGCTCCTACTAACTTAAGAGACTTCTTGTGCCACTGCTTTTTCTATTAAAAAAGCTAAAGTTATTTTAATAATAATCTTGGAGGAAATTAATTTTACATTAATGATCCATTAAGCGCGTAATAAAAATGTTAGGAGAACAAAGCTTTGAAAACTGATTAACACACAGATAAGGCAGAGGCTTTTCTTTTAAAAAAACATAATTGCTTAACAGGATGCACGGTCCACAGACACTAATTTGCACCACAATTCCAACCTTTAAATAAGACAGAAGCGACTTCAAGGTCAGAGTTGACTTGGTCTTGAATGTTTTTACTGTCCTCCTCATTCAAAGATTTCACAAATCGCGAGCAGACATTCATATCAAATCTATTGGGCAAAATGAACTTCATTCCCATGGTGACACTCTGGGCTGGGCCTTCCTCTGTGCTGGAGTCAAGCTGATGCTCCACTTTTATGTCTGGCATGGGTGGAAGGCTGTAGCTAGTGGTACATTCTTCCACAATCAGCTGGGCCCCAACATCTAAGTTTGTTGAAGTGGCCATGGCCTCAGTCAGGTAAAAGTTTCATGCAAAGTGTTTCTTCAGTTTCCAGCCAAGACTGCCCCAGGCCATCCAAGTCCAGCTGTTTGAACAACCTGCAAATGAACACACATAACATAGATGAAGAACATTCTGCTGAAGTAATGCACAAAAATACACCAAATGGCTTCATTTAAGCTTACAGCATTTGGTTTTCACAGTCAAATCTTTGGTTAGAAATCAATCTTGTTGCAGTTACAAGCTAGAGACCAAATTCTTCACTTATGTTTTATCACATGGATATTTAAACCAAACTCCACAATGAGGACAGTAGGAGGTTCATCTAAGTGATGCTTCAGAATATTTGGCTGCAACAAAACCCCCATTACAACCACCGACCAGGTTTATACCAAGCTGGGAACAAGCTACATGCAGAAGATGAGTTTATTTCCTAAAAACATTAGACTTGAAGGAATTATTAAAAGTGACTTTATGTCCCTTTATGTCTTTTTGCAATCTGAGTAAAACAAAAGATACCTAGGAAAAAACCCAAATCCCTTTCAGATTAATGTTGGTAGATGCTCCAGAACAACCAGGGCTGCCTGACAGTACCACAGGAGCCCTCCCTGCTCCCTGCAGACAGTCAGCTCCAGGACAAACGGCCTGAAAGGGGGAAGCACCCACTGCCTGGGAATGCTCCAGCCCCTCTGCCCTGCTCCCAGCACACTGGGAGCCCTGCCAGCCCCTCTCCTTCCAGCCCTGCTCCCTCTGGTACCGAGAGGTTAACCTAGAGAACTGTGCTCTTAGACAACAAATAAAAGTGTACAAGACACGGTCACTGGGTTAGAAATGTGGGATTGTATGTTTTGGACAATAATCACAACCAGATGTGTAGGGCACATGCTTACTGGGCTAGAAAGGAGGAATTGTGTGCTTTACACCACATGCTCACTGGGGAGGAACCAGAAGATGGATGGATGGAACAAGACAATAAGACAACAAAGATGTGATCAATGTTACGCCTGGCCTAGGCAAAAGCCCTGAAATAAAAGTATGGGCAGGGCAGACAGTGATCAGAAACTGAGCAGCTAGGTGGTTGCAAAAGCAAAGCCCTGGGACCAGTGCAACAATTTAATGAGCATATGCAATACAATAATGATTCTGGGGAAATGATTAATCTATACATATGGAAATTACTGAATATGCATAATTTATGAGTATAAAAGACTGGAATTTTTGCAGCTGGGTATGAAATGCTTGGCAGAGACATCCCTGTGCATCCAGCACCACAATGAATAATGCCTGTTCTTAATGGTAAATTGGTGTTATGGAGTTTTTCTCCCAATTTCAGTGACACCCCTAGCCTCTCTCCCAACAGCTCTGCTCCTCCTGGCCCCAATCACGCAGCCTAATCCTGTTCCCTCCAGCTTCTTTCTCTGCAGCTCCTCTCCTAATAGCTCCTCTCCCCTCGGTCCCGCTACCTGAGCCCTGATCCTCCAGGTATAGAATCATAGATTCAACTGGGTTGG